GTGATAAACTCTGAGCCTGTCGGCAAGTAGCATATGAGAACTACTTCTAAACGACAAGTGCTGTCCCAGCAGTAAGTGATAAACTCTAAACCTGTTAGCAGGTAGCATATGAGAACTACCTCTAAATGACAGGTGCTGACTTATGGCTTTGTTCTGACTCCAGGTGCTTCCTATGACCTCTTCATTGTGTTTTGAGTTTGAAAAATTTTCTGGAGAATTTTGGTACAAGTGATCGATGGGGAGAGTCTGTGTTTAATTGTTTAAATATTATTTTAAATAACTTTATTTGCCTTTTTTCAATATATTTATTTTAAAAATTTAAATATAAGTTAATATGTTGTTTTAAAAGAAATATAGCTTTAAAGTTTATATATAATTATATATATTTTTATTATAATTTTATATTAAAAAATATTTAATATAAAGGGTGTGGTAACTTAATAAAGTGGTGAAGTTGTTGTACTTCTAGATAGCAGGTCTAGAGTTTAAATCTTATAAATGATGTTTTTGAAAAATAGTTTTGTGATATGATTAATTGCTATTAATAATCAGTTGGATTTAGTAATCTGTAATCTCAGTCACACTATTTAAAATAGATGCTTTGGTACAATAAATCCAAGAAATTAAAATAACTAAAAACCTATTTAGCAAGTTCTAAGTTAGAAAGTAGTATAATCTTTAATAGTGCTATAGAAAAACTGAATTTGAAACCAAAGACTAAGACTAAAGAACTAAGCAACTAGGTTTTTAAGTAGGAAAACATACTAGCTAAACTGTCAGATTGTTAACTAAAAGAAAAGAATATATACTCTAAAAGCATGTACCAAAGAGAAGATAACTATAAGACATCTAAAGTCTGGACAAACCAACTCTTCCAGGTTGCTGGCTAGAAGTAAAAGAGAGACTAATAAAAAATTTAAAGAAGAAAAAAAGTCTAAATATAGATACTGGGGTTGTGTAAAATTTATAAGGGCAAGGAATAAGTAATAGAAGACTAATCAAAAAGGTTTTAGCTTGAGATACAGATTAGGTTACAGTAATATTCTAAAGAGTAACTTGAAATATGAACTTGGTAGTGGTAGCACAACAGATATAAGTTAAAAAGAAGTTACTAAACACACAAGTAAATATATATGTAGAATATATACCACTCTGTTAGGTTTACTCAAAAATAAATTAGTATTTAAGTGGCTAAGAAATGTAATAGTATTGCAAAATTTATATATATATATAGTGAGTTATACCTGTGTTAAGTAGAATAGACAGTAAGTTGTAATTAGAAAGTTTAAATAAATAACCCTGTAGTTAGGTTGCAGGTATAGCAGATAGTATTTAACCTTTAAGTAAACTACTTAAATTAGACACCAAAAGTGTATATATAGCTTGATATATTTTTATTATAATATACAATATTCATACTTACTTAATAAAAACTCACTAATTCAAAAGGTTACTTAAAAAAAAAAAATACTCAATATAAAATAGTATGACAAATTATCTGCATATAATTATATAGATTCAAAGAATTAAAATAAAAAATTTTTATTGAATTTAATTAGATAGTTGCCAAGATACTTTTAATTATAGTTTTGTTAAAAATTTGAAACATATTTATTATGTGATAAATGTTTTAAAATTTTCAAAACCTTTGATCAAAGGTATCTTAACAATTACCTGATTAAATTTGATTAATTTTTTTTAATTATTATAAAATACACCTATGGTATTTTAGTACTATATATAATTGTATTTAATAAAATTTAGGGCTAGGGTTTAGGATTAAGAATTATTTTTTTTATATAATATAATATAAAGCTAATATAAGATCCAATTTTAGTTTTTGTGAGGTTTTCAGGGTCCTGAACATTTTTATTTAGAATACCTGATCCTGTTTACTTAGTACGTTTTTGAAAAATAGAGATCTAGGTGATAAAACACCATAGGTGTGTTTTAGTAAAAATGAATTTTTTTATTTTAATTTTATAAATCTATAGAATTAAAATAAAAAAAATTCATTGAATTTGATTAGGTTATTGTCAAGATATCTTTGATCTAAGTTTTAGAAAAAATTTCAAACTATATATTATATAATAAATATATTTCAAATTTTTAACAAAACATTAATCAAAAGTATCTTGGCAACTACCTGATCAAATTCAACAAATTTTTTTATTATTTTAATTTTATAAATCTATAGAATTAAAATAAAAAAAAATTCATCAAATTTGATCAGATAATTGTCAAAATATCTTTAATCAAAGTTTTTGAAGAAATTTCAAACTATTTATTATATGTCAAATACATTTAAATTTTGACAAACTTTGATCAAAGATATTTTGACAATTACCTAATCAAATTCTATGAAATTTTTTTATTTTAATTTTATAAATTCATAGAATTAAAATAAAAAAATTAATTAAATTTGATCAGGTAGTTGTCAAGATATTTTTGATCAAAGTTTTTAAAGAAATTTGAACATATTTATTATGTGATAGACATTTTGAATTTCTTCAAAACTTCAATTAAAGATATCTTGAAAACCACCTAATCAAATTCAATGAAAATTTTTTATTTTAATTTTATGAATCCATAGAATTAATATAAAAAATTTTTATCAAATTTGATCAGGTAGTTTTCAAGATTCTGATAAATAAATGGTTTGTTTTTTTGTAAAACTTTGATCAAATTTGATGAAATTTTTTTATTTAAATTCTATAGATCTATAGAATTCAAATAAAAAAAAATTCATTGAATTTGATGAGGTGGTTGTCAAGATATCTTTGTTCAAAGTTTTTGTGCAGTTTTTTTATTTTGACAGGGTGAAATCTGCATTTCGCGGGTTTCACCTAATTTAGCTAATCAACACGGATTTTACTAATTGGCAGCGCGAATTTCACCCTGTCATAAAATATTTTACAGAATTAATTAACCCCCTCCTATCTTTTTTTATCGGAATGCTGTATAACGCTTCCAATAATGTTAATATTAGACATAGATCGCCATGTTTATTGGCCGTGATTTTATTCGTGACCCGCCACATTTCCTTTTAAGGGGACGTCTAAAGCAGAGATAATTATTTATATATAATATTTATTAAATTAACTTTAGGGTCATGGTCATCTTAGATTAGAGTTAGTTTTGGTTTTAGATATTATATATACGCAAGATTGCCTTCCCGACATTTTTGCTTAAACTTACCCAAGGTAGGTTTAGACTGCCGTTTTTTATATTTTTAAGGTTTTTTGGTTTTTTTTTTTCTTGTATTGCTTCGCCGGCGATCATCAAAATTCTATAATTTAACTGGCTGATAGTCACATGATTTATCTCCGCTTTTTTTTAAGCTAAAACGGAAAAGATTTTTGTCAAATAATTTTATATTGTCTTATACCTTGATATGATATAGCTTGATATATCTGATATAGCGTACGTACCAATCCCAAATCCCATGAACTTTGCCAACAAGTATATATGTACTGTACCGTATATGGTTAAATGACAACATCTCCATATATAACAAGTATAAGTGGGTTTTAGAGAGTTAATTAGAAACCCTCATTTCATTTTAATCCGATTTAATTATGATCCGCAACAATTAAAAAAATGAATTAATGTTAGGTTATGTCATTTATAAACCATTACAATATAAAGAAATAACAAAGTTTCCATCTGATATAATATATGATATTGTATTTGAACTGAACAAAATTTTCAATTATAAAAAAATTTATCAACATAACACATCTTATTTTACTCATATAACATAAATATAAAAAAATAAGTTAATCTGTGTAAAACTGTAAAAAAGATGAACAAATAAATTGCGTGTTCTAAAAATCCCGAATTTATTAATTTTAAAGTTCACTTAACAACAAGACTGTAAAATATAAAAATAATTAATAATGTACTTGAACCAAAAAGTATAAATATTATAATGAAAAATGGATTACTAATAAACAATAATTCAAATCAGGAAACCAATCTAAGTTAAGAGTACAAAGAACTATAAAATGAACCAATAAGGTGAATGTCTAATAAAATTAAGAGATTTCGATTGCGCAAAACGATAACTATATTTAATTGCTAGACAAATTTTCATTACTTGTATCATTTTCTTCACGGCTTAGAAAGGTTTGAAACTTCAGAATTATTTGAAGGATTGTCGTTTTTATTTGCACCGCCTTCCTCTATATTAAAACTTGAAGATTGTGCACCGTTTTCTTGAATCGTTATTCTATGGCATTTATCTGTGAATTAATACTAGCATTAGATTGTTTCTTAAAATTTCACCATGTTAGAAAATTATATAATTTCAACAGCAAACATAATATACCATAATTATTTTGTTGATTTTTTAATACACTAGTTAATTCCTTCTTTCTATTTTCTTTCACTTCTTCTTCCCAGTTTTTATCAACATTATAAAAATATAAAATATATTTAATACATTTTAAATTTGATAACTTCTTTTTATAAAGAAATTTAGTAAACATAAAATCTAAAGATTTTAAACTACAGCCTAAAAAAGTTTCTTTATCAAAAATTCGCCCTAATAAATAAGTCATAAATGCTAAAAACAGATCTGAATAAAATGTGCTATCTGAGTAAACTATAGAAAAAGTCAATCCAACTGAAACTACAAAATAAAAATACAAGCCCAAACTTGGTCTACCACATAAAAAAAATAAAAATGTTAAAAGGCATAAGGTTGTTGAAATAGCGATGAACCCATTATAACCAATTATTTTACTTGTAATATCTTTTTTAAGCCAAAATAAAGCTGCAGGAAGTAATATTGCAAGTATACTTGTATATATTATTAAGTAATAAATGATACGAAGAAATTTATCAATAAAAGGTATACCCATTTTTTGTTTTTTTTCTTTTTTACCAAAATTTTTTTTCCATTCATTAACAAATCTAATTATTTCGTCTTCATTGTTCTCATTAAAGTTCTCTAAAGCTTTTAGGTCCTTTCTTCTTTCTCTTATTACAATCAATAATTGATCAATAAGAGAAACTATTACAGAGAAACTTGAAATCATCCAGGCATAATCAAACTTTGAAGTACTCTTATATATAAAGAAATTATATATGCCAGGAAAGATAAATAAATATACAAGCATAATGACTGCTTCAAGAAGACCAATAAGCCATTTCATCCTGCTTTTATAGGCCGAAACAACAAGTAAAGGTACTAATACGGTGATTAAGTTACTAAAGACATGAAGGCCAATACCATCATCTTGTGCATAAACACAAGATATAATAAAGCATATATAATAAAACAAATGAATCATTTAAATTTGATAATTTTATTTGAATGTTTGGGATGGTGTATGTTTGATTTTTTATTTGACCCTTTTTGATGCTTTATATTTTCGTATTATATTGTGATCTGCCACATTGCTTATTTTACACTTATGTGCACATCAAATAGTGTAGTATATATGCCATAAATGATATTTTTGCCAAATTTGCATTTGAGTTCGGTTCGGTCTATTTGTTGCTATGATAATCTATTTGTAACAAAAAATTACCAAAAAGATGATTTTCTATTTTAATAGAGTAGCTGCACGACGCAATCATGCTAGAACCAGGAAAGTTATACATATATTTGTATTTGTACAGCATGTATATATAAAGATAATATTTCCTATTATTAAATAAAGTTTTTTTTTTCTGGAAACTAAGCGTTTGAGTTGCTTAAAGGGAGTTAAAAGTGTACTATATCTGATATTGTATTATGCAGTACAAGGACCTTATGTTGTGATTAGGCTCTATGGCTGCCGCAAGCAGTGCAAAAACTTTATGCATGTGAATAAGAGTGCCGTCAAAGGAAACCTACGACCGGGCTTTCGAGCATATTTTGTGCACAGTTGGTTATCTGTGTGTCGTCTATGTAAATTTATGTCCGATGATAGATTTACCATAGACAGATAATCAACTGTACACAAAATACACTTGAAAGCCCGACTGTAGATTTTCCTTTGACAGCCACTCATATGGTTAAATGTATTGAATAGATTTAAATTTTTTTTTAAAAACAAAAGATGCTTTTATATAATCATCCTAAGTCATACCTTATTAAAAAAAAAGATAATAATAATGCTTTCCTGGATTTTTCCAGTTTTGGATTTGGGTTTGGGTTGGATTTTGAGGATTTTTAGTTTTGTCAACGTGTAAATATATATATACTATATGATGGTTATTAAAAATTAGCGTTTATGAATAGAAATTTTTTTTAAAAATTGCACATTATTCGAACAAAGGCCTCTTAGGTTATTTGATGTTATATCTATCTTGTATTTTCTTGTTATCTGGCATGATGTGACGGATACATGGGTATTCGGCAGGATGATAGCAAAAGCACGTGGCCGAAGGCC